GTTAACTCAGCTGTTTCTTCTTGGTATCAATATTTCCTTACTTCTCTATACTAGAGATAACTGTTAACTCAGCTGATTCTTCATGTTATCACTATTTCCTCACTTCTCTATACTAGAAATAACTGTTAACTCAGCTGTTTCTTCCTGTTATCACTATTTCCTTACTTCTCTATACTAGAAATAACTGTTAACTCAGCTGTTTCTTCTTGTTATTACTGTTTCCTTACTTCTCTATACCAGAGATTACTGATAACTCAGCTGTTTATTGCGTGTATTGTTCATTAAGAATATAAATACTGTTTATGTTATCTGTTTTCTCAACTTGTCTCTTTATTTTATCCATTTTTATATATGTATAACTTCTTGTCAAGAGAATCTATCTACACAAATTGCAACTTAGATATTGTGATAAATAACATAGTGTTACGTCTCTGGTCGTTTGTTAATTTTTTGTAGAAATGCTTTCCGAAGAACTTCAGCGATACAAGTACTTTCTTAAATAAAACTAATTTATTCTTTCTCAATACAACTTGGCAATACACTTAATTTCCACAGTCACTTTAACTTAAACACACGTTATAATTCACAACGAACGAGTCACGCACTTTACTTCCTACCGTGCTTGACTCAATTGTCCGTCTCTATCTCTACCTATCTGCAATTCAATTATTTATATATGCCGTCACTTCTCGCCGGTCTTATATATACGAAATAAAGGGCGTCTGGTAAACACTCGAGCCTTCACGAACGTTCTAGATACTCATTACGGGTTACCAGCGTCACGTGACTTCCGCTGTCGTAACAATAGCAAGATATTTATGACAGTCTACCAAAGGTCACCTCCTCAGCTGTGTACTTCAAATATTGATGTGTGTCGTAATTGACTTTGTTTTTATTACCGTGTGTTGTATATAATTATTTTGTTGATAATATCTGTTGTATTTAACTATCCTGTTGTTAACGTGTGTTGTGTTTAACTTTTCTTTCATTAACGTGTGTTGTGTTTAACTGTTCTGTTTTTAACGTGTGTTGTATTTAACTGTTCAGCTATTAACGTATATTAGTTACAACAGTCACAGATATAAACAAGCAAGTTTCTACTCAAGTGTAAGCATTAGAGATAACTGTTACAATTTTAATTTTGAAATTCACCTCATATACTAAGTAAAAAAATTACAATATTTCTTTTCACGCTATGAACAAGACTTCACACCCCAATTGGCGACAAAAACTTTAAGAATTTACTAAGTGATTTTCTATCATACTCTTTCTCATATTCTAACTTTTCAAGAAATGAAACCATGTTTCCATGGTTTTTGGTCGTAGAGATTCGGTGGCCTCTGTGTTCAACGTGCTGTAGTAGTTTCTTTATAATTAACTATGCAAACCGTGATAAGGAAAAACCTTATTTTGCTTGAAATAAGTCAACCCATTGCAATTATTTAAAAAGTAGAACGAACTTTTATAAAAAGAGCAAGCCAAGTATATCATGCAATTACTTGTCATACCTTGACAGCATTTTAATTTTTTGGTTCACACTGTTTTTCATGGCTCCATTCATGTTTCGTTCCACTTCTCCTGTTTTTGTTATCAGGTTTATTTTTCTGCTTAAACAGTTACACCAATTTTACGAAATTCCACAATGTGTTAGCTGTTGAGTAGGAATATAGAACGTTATGAAAGTTTAAACAACTACGCTGCCTTTCTTTTATTTTAACATTTGCTCACTTACAAAACTCTCCACTAACGTATGTAGCCTTATTTTCAAGATAGTTTCTCGTCTAAGTAAAGTTAACATATGTAGCCTTATTTTCCACATAGTTTCTTGTCTAAATAAAGTTAACATATTGTTACGACAGCGAAAGTCACGTGACGCTGGGAGCATGCGCGCTGGAGTTTCTAGAATTATCGGGAAACCCCGCGAATGTTCGAGTGTTTGCTAGACACCCTTATTTTAAGTATATAAGCCTGGCAAAGAAAGCCAGCGAGATAGGCAGATAGATTAAATAGATAGATATGCAGATAGATTGAAGAGATAAGTAATTGAGTGAAGCAAACAGTAAGCACCGTAAGTAAAGTGTGTGAATCACTGTGATTTATAGCGTGTGTCATAAAAGTAGTTAACTTTAACATACTGATTTTAAATTCCGTGTATTACAAAGTTTGTATCGAGAAAGAATAACTAGTATTAATGAAGAAAGGATTTGTATCGCTGAAGTTTCTCGGAAAGAATTTCTACGGGAAATTAACAAACAAGCAGATACATAACAAATTATAGCCTTATTTTCTAGATAGTTTATTGTCTAAATAAAGTTAACATATCTAGCCTTATTTCCAAGATAGTTTCTTATCTAAATAAATTTACCTGGAGTTCTGCTTCCTCTTTTCGTTTTCTGGGTTTTACTGATATGATTTAATTTGTAGTTTATTTTATCGATATCGATCTTTTATAAAACTCATAAACTGGAACCTTATTATAATTAAAGTAAATAATTAGTTTGTCTAACATATAAATTCAATTCAAGTAACATAAACTATCATTTTTCACAGCGAAATTATCAAGTTAAATCATTTGTTCTTTCTCTGTTTCAGCATGACAATGTCTCACTAGAAAGAGGTGAAGCAGGTAAGATTTTTTTTTATAAATTACTAATGAAAAACACAAGTAATGGTGTTAACTGTAGCCGATTAGTTCTTGATGTAACTACTAGTAATAGAGTTAATTGTAGCTGATTAGTTTGATGTAACTACTAGTAATGGAGTAATTGTAACTGATTAGTTCTTGATGTAACTACTAGTAATGGAATAATTCTAGCTGATTAGTTGTTGGTGTAACTACTGATGATGGAGTAGCTGTATATCATCAGTCGCTGGTGTAACTACTAGTACTGGAGTAAATGTAGCTGAGTAGTTGTAGATGTAACTACTAGTAATGGAGTAACTGTAGCTGTTTAGTTGCTAGTGTAAGTACTTTTGATGGAGTAACTATAGCTGTTTAGTTGTTTGTGTAAGTACTTCTAATGGAGTAATTGAAGCTGCTTATTTGCTGATGTAACTACTAGTAATGGAGTAACTGTATCTGATCAGTTGCTGTGTAAGTACTTCTAATGGAGTAACTGTAGCTGTCTAGTTGCTGGTGTAAGTACTTGTAATGGAGTAACTGTATCTGTTTAGTTGCTGGTGTAAATACTTCTAATGAAGTAACTGTAGCTGTTTAGTTGCTGGTGTAAATACTTCTAATGAAGTAACTGTAGCTGTTTAGTTGTTGGTGTAAATACTTCTAATAGAGTAACTTATCCTAAAAGTTTTGATTTCTGATTTATTGTAGGAGTAACTTGGAAGAATGCTTCTGTTCCGTTCAGAGAGAAAAACGAAGTGTTTTACGAAAGGAATTTCGAACCAGTGTTTTTTGTTGACAATCTTGACCCTGTAATAGAAAAGGAACAATTCAACAGACTTTGTCGCGGAGAGCAACTCAGGGTAATGGATATAATCAAAGCCGAAATGTTTAGAAGTAAATAGTCTTAATATAAGAAACATGAACGGGCTTTAAAGACAGTATAGTAAATAAATCGTCTTAATATATCAAAGATGATCATGTTTAATACTGTAGCATACGTAATTAGTCTTAATATAAAAAACAGGAGCGTGGTTTAGTTTCCATTGTCACTGACTTTATTCATATGTAGTTATCTACCTTTTCTCGCTTTATTCACATGTAGGTGTCTACTGCTTCTCACTTTATTCACATGTAGGTGTCTACTGCTTCTCACTTTATTCACATGTAGGTGTCTACTGCTTCTCATTTTATTCACATGTAGGTGTCTACTGCTTCTCATTTTATTCACATGTAGGTGTCTACTGCTTCTCACTTTATTCACATATAGGTGTCTACTGCTTCTCACTTTATTCACATGTAGGTGTCTACCGTTTGTAACTTTATTCACATGTAGGTGTCTACTGTTTCTTACTATATTCACATGTAGGCGTCTACCGTTTCTAACTTTATTCACATGTCGATGTCTACTATTTTTTACTTTATTAATGTGTATGCCTACTATCTTTATTTACGTGTACGTGTTCAATGTCTCTTACGTTATTCACATTTAAGTGTCTTTATTTACGTTTTGGTGTCTACTGTCTTTAATTACTCTATCATTTTTGTTTATTATGTGTAAAACTGGTATATATTAATTCTTACCTGATGTAAATGTGGCTACTTTTAACGCTCACACCATAATATATTTTGATTGTTTATAATATAATTAAAATTACAATATTTCTCATTCTAATAAGTAATATTTTTGTCACAGCCTGTAGAGTGGGACAAGGATCTTGGGTGCCGATATTTTAATGGTCATCATCCATATCTGCTGTTACAACCAATTAAGTTAGAAGAAAAGAGCCACAAACCTTATATTGTACAGCTCTATGATGTTATAAGTGATCAAGAAATCCAAAGACTTCAGAATCTTAGTCAATTTACAGTAAGAATTTAAACACTCTTGCATATGAAGTTTAGGTTTAAAAACCAATACAAATTATTATTTCAATGAAAATAATTATAGAAAATGTCCACGATTAAGTTACAAGTTCTTATTAAAAGTAGAGGATGAAATATTTTAGACGAGAAATTTTTTTTTACAGTGTATACTTGAGGTAAGAACGTTATCAATCATCCAGCCAGTGTATACTTGAGGTATGAACACTATCATTCTTTCCGTCAAGAATAAACTTATGGCCTGAACACTATCAATCTTTCCTTCAAGAATAAACTTATGGCCTGAACACTATCATTCTTTCCTTCAAGAGTAAACTTATGGTCTGAACTCTATCATTGGTTTACTCTTGAAGGAAAGAATGGCCTGAACACTATCATTCTTTCCTTCAAGAGTAAACCTATGGCCTGAACACTATCATTCTTTCCTTCAAGAGTAAACCTATGGCCTGAACACTATCATTCTTTCCTTCAAGAGTAAACCTATGGCCTGAACACTATCATTATTTCCTTCAAGAGTAAACTTATGGTCTGAACACTATCATTCTTCCCTACTAGTGTAATATTGTGATCTGAAATCTGAATAATATGAATCTTTCCTGCTAGTATGATATTCCGATCTGAACATTATCATTCCTTTATTACAGCTACACAGGTCTTCTCACTACGGGATCAGTGGGGAATTCGAAGCTTCTCTAATGCGAACAAGTGCAAGGTGTGTATTTACCCAGTAGGTGAGTATTTAGCATATAAGTGAGTATGTTCCTGCTGGATGAATATTTAACAGCTAGATCTTTATCAATGGTTATTTAATCTTCTATGTATTAGTGCATTAATGTGAAGCACTGGACTACTTTATTGATCTTGTACTGTGAGGAACCACTCAACTATTGTTGTATTGTAAAGGACTTCTTTATTTATTTTTTATTGTGAGGAATCACTCCACTATTGTTGTATTGTAAAGGAATTCTTTATTGTTATTGTACTGTGAGGAAACACTCCAAAATTGTTGTATTTTGAAGGACTTCTTTATTGTTCTTGTATTGTGAGGAACCACTCCACTATTTTTGTATTGTAAAAAGCTTCTTTAGTGTTGTTGTACTGTGAGGAACCACTTCATGATTATTGTATTGTAAAGAACTTCTTTATTGCTGTTGTGCTGTGAGGAACATCTCCACTGTCATTGTATTGTGAAGGACTTCTTTATTGTTGTTGTACTGTGAGGAACCACTCCACTATTTTTGTATTGTGAAGGACTTCTTTATTGTTGTTGTACTGTGAGGAACATCTCTACTGTTATTGTATTGTGAAGGACTTCTTTATTGTTGTTGTACTGTGAGGAACATCTCCACTGTTATTGTATTGTGAAGGACTTCTTTATTGTTGTTGTATTGTGAGGAACCACTCCACGGTTATTGTATTGTAAAGGACTTCTTTATTGTCGTTGTACTGTGAGGAACATCTCCACTGTTATTGTATTGTAAAGAACTTCTTTATTGTTGCTGTACTGTGAGGAACATCTCCACTGCTATTGTATTGTGAAGGACTTCTTTATTGTTGCTCTACTGTGAGGGACTACTCTACATTAGTTTCTTGATACGAGGAGCTACGTTATTTTTTCCGTGTTGTTTGGAACAACATTGTTTGTTGTGTGTTTTTAGGGCTAAACTATTCGTAATGTATTGTAAGGGGCTTCTCTTTCTGGGGTGTGTTGTGAGGGGATACTTGAAAAGACCTTGCTATTATTCATACATGGATAGATCTAAAACCTTTTGTTGCGTAAGATAATTTGAACGCTTTGATGGTATAGAAAATCAAACGAAACTTCAAAAACATTTACCAAATTTATCACCGAAGTTTGTCCCTGAAAACAACCGTATTATTAGTGATGTTGTTGAACAGAGATGTTATAAAGACCAAGAAATTTCATCAGCTAATGATAGGTAGGTTTATGTTAGTGATGGAATCAATTTACTATATTTGTCTGTACTTTCTAGCTCTTGGTTGACAGAAGAAACTGATCCAGTGATTGTGAAATTGGACCGTCGAGTTGGAATGATTACGGGATTGGCTACGAAGTATAGCATGGAAGAAGCTGAAGCTTACCAGGTAGGATATATTATTGATTAATTAACGACATTCAGAATACTGTAGCTAACCAGGTAGGATATATTATTGATTAATTAACGACATTCAGAATACTGTAGCTTACCTGGTAGGATATATTATTAATTAATTAACGACATTCAAAATACTGTAGCTTACCTGGTAGGATATATTATTGATTAATTAACGAGATTTAGAATACCGTAGCTTACCTGGTAGGATATAATATTATTAATTAATTAACGACATTCAAAATACTGTAGCTTATCTGGTACGATATAATATTATTAATTATTTAACGACATTCAGAATACTGTAGCTTACCTGGAAGGACATATTATTGATTAAATAACAAAATTGAGAATACTGTAGCTTTCCTAGTAGGATGCATTATTGATTAATTCAGAATAATGTAGCTTACCTGGTTAGATATATTATTGATTAATTAACGACATTCAGAATACTCTAGCTTACCTGGTAGGAAATATTTTTGATTAACTAACGAAATTGAGAATACTGTAGCTTACAAGGTATAATATATTATTGATTAATTAACGAGATTCAAAATACTATAGCTTACCAGGTAGGATAATATATTTTTTGTAATTTACGATATTCATAATACTGTAGATTACCATGTGGGTAATATTTTATTGATAAATTAACAACATTCAGAAAATTATAGCTTACTAGATAGGATATATTATTGATAATTAACTAGATTCAGGACACTGTAGTTTACTATGTAGGATAATATATTGTTGGTTAATTAAATACATTAAGAATATTATAGTTTTACAGGTAGGATAATATACTATTGATTAATTTACGTGATTTAGAATACTTTAGATTACCAGGAAGTATATATTGTTGATTAATTAACGATTTTTTTACATATATTTGACTTGTTTTGAATATGTTATTTTAAAACAAGTGGATTATGTGCTGTCCGTTTATTGTTGAAATTTATCGCCAACAAGTCACAGACACCTACCCTATAAAACCTGACAGTCACTTATAACTGTAGTGTGCAAAGTTTCTATTGTTTAATTCGAATGACCTTAACGTAAGCTTTCTTAATGATCACTCATGACCATGATGTCTAGCGTTTCTCTTGTTTACCTCATATGTCCTTAACATGAGTTTCATTAAAGGTCACTCATGACTGTGATGTATGAAGTTTTTCCTATGTATGTACTGTGAATTTTTCTATGTAATTTAGTGTTACAATCATATGTGTTTACTTGATTCTATTTTAAATCAATTCTCTGATTTATTTACATGCTCTGTTAAATTGTTGACATTCTTCTTGAGAATTCCACCATTATTTTTAGGTCGCAAACTATGGGATTGGTGGTCACTATGTTCCTCATCAGGACCATCTACAAAGTGCTGGAATGAACTCATCCATGGTATGAATATCTTGAGTTAAGAGATCAGACTTTTCTAGGTTCGAAACCGAGTAATAAACTTGGTACCTGTATACATTTCTATGTATTTTCCAGATATTTTGAGTTAAGAAATCAGACTCATTTAGGCATTAGTATACAGTTTTACACAATTTCCAGACATTTTAAGTCATCAGATTGTTTGTTTATTGAATTTCTTGCAAAACTTATTCGAGGGATATTTGCCTTATCCTTCCCTAATTTTGAAGTGATAAACTAGAGGGAAGACAGCTAGTTAACCCACCAACCGCCAACTCATAGGCTACTTTGATGAAATAGTGGTGTTTGATTGTCACTCGTATATTACACTCTCGGCCCCAAAGGCCCAATATGTTTGGCATATAAGAGAGTGCATATTGTCGGATGCACAGTCTGAGACACCATCTACCAGGTCAAGTTTGATCCTAAGAGATTAGATTCGTGTAGGTGAGTGATGACCATGTATTTGCACTCGATCAGAAAGTAAGAGTGCCCATTAACCATGCATGCTTCGACAAAATCAAACTTAGGAAAAATAATAAAATGGTTATAAATATGCTGGGTAGAAACAAGTGCAAATTATTATCTTAAATAACGAGTTTAGAGTTTTCAAGACTGTAGCTCTGCTGCAGCAGCTTGAAGATAAAAGCTGGAGATGATGTTCGAGAAGAACATTCAGAAGAGATGACAAAGTGATTCGTAGAACTTCGAAATCAGATTGATTCAAACATTTCCCAGAAATAAATGCACCAGTACAAGTCATGGAGTTGACGTCATTAACGTAAGGCAGAATGCAGGCTACATGAATAAGTTTAAGCGAGAAAATTCTATTGTTTCATTAGTGAACTTATGAAGCGCTTAAACTTAAAATAAAAAAAAATCATAAAAGCTGAATCTACTCATTGTTGATTGTTCAGCAATATCCGGTTGATGTCATTATGTAGTTATGTGTTGAGTGGGATCTACTCATTGTTGATTGTTCAGCAATACCCGGTTGATGTCATTATGTAGTTATGTGTTGAGTGGGATCTACTATTTGTTGATTGTTCAGCAATATCCGGTTGATGTCATTATGTAGTTATGAGTTGAGTGGGATCTACTCATTGTTGATTGTTCAGCAATACCCGGTTGATGTCATTATGTAGTTATGAGTTGAGTGGGATCTACTCATTGTTGATTGTTCAGCAATACCCGATTGATGTCATTATGTAGTTATGAGTTGAGTGGGATCTACTATTTGTTGATTGTTCAGCAATGCCTGGTCGATGTCACCATGCAGTTATAGGTGTACCTGACATACGATGTATCCCTAAATGTTGTGCTGGTACTACTCCCTCGGATACCTATTCTACCGGGATCAATTCTGTAGTTCATACTCTTTAATTTTCACCCTATGTAATTCTTTACATTAGTTTTTAGTTGGTATAGTTTGATAGATAGTAAATATAATTTTCATACATTTCTTCTTATAAAGATTAGAATCCATTGTTTCACCAGCTAGATAATCTTGCTGTTAACTGTATTTTCGGCCGTAATTTGAATAATATCTCATAATATTTGGCCAGCTTAGGAGATTTAGAGTCGTTCTAAATACATATATTAAGCTATCAGTGCAAAATAATGTTTATAATAAAAATATGATAATAAATAATAAATGTAAGGTAAAAGTAATTACATTCGATATGCTAACTAGGGTAATCAATATCGCTAATGAAAGTAACAATAAACAAATGACATAATATACCTGATTTAGGGAACAAAAACACCAGTTGTTATCTTGAATTATCGCCCCAGAAGCATATTTCTTGTGAAAATTTCATCCTGATAGATAGATAGATACTAATGATCTTATATATAATTATATATAATTTATCGAATGTTTCTTAGAAATTTAAGCTTCATTTTAGGAATTAAACATCTATAATTCTGTTTACAAGATGTGACGTAATGACTACTAACATGTGACGTAATGTCTACTAACACACTTTCGTTGACAGTATCAGATAATGTCTCTTTTATCACATACACCATTGGAACAGTGGTAAATCTACAGACTTACAACGCTAAAATACAGGGTTCGATTACCTGCAGTGTAAACATAAGATGCTTTATTTCAATCAAACAAACAAGCAACTCACTTCTCAACTTCATATAATGTTTCTAAATTTGTATAAAATACGACTTGCTGGGAAATATTCCAAACGTTCTGATCAGATATATAATTTTCTTTTTTTTACACTAGGTAAGTTGTAGGTTATGTAAATACATTGTTTTATTGAGTTATGTAAATGCATTGTTTTATTGTGAGGTGTAAGTTATGCAGATACATTGTTTTATAGTGAGTTGTGGGTTATGTAAATACACTGTTTTATTGTGAGTTGTGGGTTATGTAAATACACTGTTTTATTGTGAGGTGTAGGATATGTAAATACATTGTTATATTCTAAGCTGTAGGTTATGTAAATACATTGTTTTATTGTGAGTTGTAGGTTATGCAAATACATTGTGATATTCTAAGCTGTAGGTTATGCAAATACATTGTTTTATTGTGAGGTGTAAGTTATGTAGATACATTGTTTAATAGTGAGTTGTGGGTTATGTAAATACACTGTTTTATTGTGAGTTGTAGGTTGGGGAATATATATTGTTTTATTGTGAGTTTTAAATTATGAAAAATGTTGTATTTCTAAGTTTCAAGGATTTGAATACCGGGCTGGAGACCGGATAGCAACGTGGATGTTCTATGTAAGTCTACTTTCGAAAGTTAATAATTTTAAATATTTGTTAAAGGCTTAACATAAAAACTGTATTTCTGAGGATTTGATTTGCTTTAAATATTCCAACTACTCTACTTGTCTGTTTATAAAGATATAATATTTGTTTCGCCATTTTAAAGTTTAGAGTTATCTATTAAGAGAAACAATAATACATTTTTTGGTTTTATCTAAACCAAAAGTGGCTTTCAGATATGAAAAAAAAAAGATTTTAAACCCAAACTGTTATGACTTTTTAGGGAAAAAACGAACACAATATTTATTCATATTTTTTTTTTTCGTTAACTAACTGAGGCCTAACATATCGTACAAGTGGTGTTTTATTGAGTAACTGATTCATTTTGTACATCTAACAAACGGAATATTTTTTTACAAATGTCTTACTAAGTAATGTTACGACAGCAGAAGTCAT